CATCAAAAAATATATATATATTAAGCAGAAGTGACTAAATTTTTTAAGCAAATTATATTAAATCAAATGCTTTATGCTGATTCATTTACTGTATTGAGCTTATATATAACTTTATCCATATTCTCCACACTCTCACAGAGGAAGATTTGGGAATTTAGAATTGTAGAAGCTGATGTTTGAGTCTCTGTTCTGCCTCTATAAAATATTATAAAATATATAAAATAATATTTTTCTAAGCCTCAGTTTCTTCACTAGTCAAACAAGAAAATGCTGCCTACCACACTGAGTTGTTACAAAGCAAAATGCTTGTAAAAGTTTGTGAGCATGAATACACTACAAATATAAAGGGCCAATATGGCTATTACTTCTGACATCACCCCTACTAAGATAGCCCCCCAAAAGAATAATGAAGATTATGAAATATGGATAAAATAAAGAACCACCACTTTTGCAAGGTCACAAAAATTTATTTTGGTACCTAGGTAGTTTCTTTTCTCAGTTTTATATTTACTTGTCCTCATAACATGTTACACATCTTTATACTGGTTATAAACAGGTTTTACAATACCGTATTGGTTCTCWTCTACTATCTTAAAAGCTAACATTTATGGAGTGAAGCTTATTATGTGGCAGATAGTATGAAAGAGGTTGATAGGCATTAGCCCATTTAACTCTCACAATAAGCCTAGAAGGTAGATACAATTATATGCCATTTTACCCAGGAGGAAACTGAGGCAGAGAGGTGAAATACATTGTCCAAATTCACAATTATAGTAAGAAATGGGGACAGGATTAAACCTTGGCACCCTGACCCAACTCTGTATTCTTCACCATTATACCACACAACAAGTTTTCATTACAGTTAATTGTCTGCAGACCCTTTCTAAGGCTGACAGACATCCATCCTACCTCTGCTACTCAAGGCTGCAAGTAGTTTTGTGTGGTTAATGATGTTCTTAACTGACTTTGGCAAGTACTTAAAGGAGGGTAAACTGAGTCAAAGAAACAATTTACTATCTATGTGAACTTGACTTTTCTGGGTAGGCAYAATACTCCTGAAGTCAGAAGGATTCTGTAGGAAGAATGCTCATTAACAATTTGTACATTTTAAATCTTATTTTTATAATACGTATTGGTTTTACAACATAGGATATTAGATCAGAATATGACACTTATTTTATGGAAGTTCTTACCCTTCTGAAAAACAACTTTAGGTTTAATGACCTCTAATGTCATAGTAGAAGTCACCTTTAGCTTGATGTCTTCCAGCTACTTGGCATTAAGGAAAAAGTAACTAGAAATTGTCACTGTTGCTTTATGTAGCATATTAGAACTGACATGACTAGAAAAATGCACAAATCAAGTACAAAATAAATCTATTATGGTGCATAGACCACTTGCCAAGAGTAGGAGCTCTGGAGTTCTAATTCCAAACTTCTACTTAACTTTTCAGAGATTATAAATGAGCCATGTAAGCCTTGTTTCCTTGTCTGTTAATTAGAAATATTCTAGTTTGTGGTAATTATTTTGCTGTTCAAGCTCAACAAAGTCTAGTTTCTTTACCAATGCTAATATTTTTCTTTCACTATGTAGAATTAGTCTGAGACATTAAAATATCACATTAAATTGGAAATAATTTTTCTGTCAGGCATTCAGTTAATTGACCAAATGTAATATTCCTTTCACCAGTGCAATATCCTTTTTGGGTAAATATTGTATATATGTACAACCGAGGAAAGGGGAAGAGTGAAGAGGTCTCTAAGTAACTAATAGCAGTATTAACCTTTTAAGCATAAAATCAAGATAAGGTGGTCATGAGTGTTAAGGAACAAAATAAAATCAAATGGCATATGACTTTGCAATGCAGCACCTTACAGGAAATGAGTAGAAAAAAATGTGTTAATTCTTCAACCAAAGTTAAACCTCAAAGTTTCTATAAAGGTATCTTATTCACTGTATACATCTTCACTGAGAGGATGAATCATCTCCTGGATGAAAAAGGAATTTACAAAGGACTCAAAGGATGAATTCATCCATTGTATTAGCAATACACTTCTTAGTCATAATTTTGTAGTGACAAATTCCCATTCAAATTCAGCAACACAGGATTTGTCCATATATATATATATATATATATATATATATATATATATATACACATATATATATATTTTTTTTTTCTGGTGCTGGATTAAACCCATAACTTTGCACATGCAAAGCACACAGTCTGCCATTGAGCTACAACACCGGCCCCTATCCCAATTTCTACATTTTTATCTCCTTCTCCAAAGTGAGAATTGTAGTACCATAAAACATCCATATTGCTTTATCCTAAGGTGGACATAAAATAATTTCACAATCAATACACTAATACTACTATTAATGACAACATATCTGTCATATAAAATTCAAGATTTTTTTGCCATTTTTTTTCTGAAAACATATCCACCAGGTAGTCAAAGTATCATACAGTGTTCAAATGTTACTTGTGGTTTTGTGTGTATATATGGGGCTAATTTTAATATATAATTAGGCACTTTTGTTTCTGTTTATATTCAAATATTAGGATTTGCTTTCTCAACACTTTTTGTTAAATGTTACTGTTCTAATATTTTGAAATGTTGCAAAATACAAAACTATATAGAAATGTGTACTCAGGRCTGGATGGGGAAGTAGCTCAACGGTAGAGCACTTGCCTAGCACGTGGGTGCCCTGAATTCAATCCCCAGCACTTTAAAAAAAGAGAAAAAACAAACCAAAAAAAGATTTAGTTAGAGATGTCTAACTCCMGTCTGCCTCTTGCACACATATCCACTATAGGCTTCTTCTTCGTGTGTGTCTTTTTTTGGAAGAGAAAAATACTATGTGTGCGTATGTATGTGAATGTGAGTACGCCTTCGTGTATGCACAACTGATGAGGTTTGTGGAAAGTTGGGCTACATTTGTAAACAAACACTTTATATTTAGAAGCACATCAGAAAATTCACAAAGCTAAGATGATTAATAAACAAAGCATGTGCCAAAACAAATATACAGATTTTGCAACAATATGYACAAGWTTGATGGTTAAAATAAAAATATTTCATTCCCTCCATAAAGTTTCATATACTCCTTAGTTTGTGTAATGCTTATGTCTGCAAACCTTCATAACCATTAATTATTTTTAAGACTTATAATCCCTAAAATAACCATGAAAATATAAATATAAACATTTAGATTAGGAATTATTATGGAAATTTATCAAAAATAAAAGGTAATTTTTTATTTTTCTGTTTTCAAAATATTATGTGTTTGTTTATTTTTGTGGTGCTGGAGTTCAGAAAGKTTCTTTTTAAAGTGATTATAAAAGTTATTTTATCATCTATAACCCATTCTTTAAAAACAGCATCATAACCCATTTAGGGAAATAGTACTTTATAATTTAAATTATTTTACTAAGCTTCCTTATATTAAATCTCTGGTAACCCATGTATTATTTTTGGAGAAAAATTTATTTAAAGAATGCACTACACTCTCCTAACTACTGATGCTGGATTCTCTCTTCTTTTTTCAGTTTTTGCTATAAGAATATTATTGGACCTGGTTTTGTGTTGCTTAATTTGTAGGAACTGATCAAGTTAAGAATTAATGTTATTAATAAACAAATACAGTATTCTCTGACTGGTCACAATTTTSAGAGTGTAGTTTCCTAAGTCCTTCAGTTTCTTCTTCCTGATAATCGGATATATTAGTTTGCTAATCATATAATTTAGCAGAAATGTGTTGTCTTGGTTCTGGAGGTGGGAAGTCTAAGATCAAGGCATTGGTAGGAGTGGTTCTTTATGTGAGCTGTGACAGAGAACCTATTTCATGTCTCTTTCTTAGCTTCTGATGGTATCCTACCAAGTAAATTGATTATTATTCACATATATTAATGATTATTGACAGGTTACTATGCATACTAAATTACCAATGTTGACCAGCTATAAATACAGACTTAATATCAATATTGTACTAAGAACTAYAGAACAGCAATCAAGCAAACAAACAAAATAATTACATTAAATTTCCTCTAATCACAAGGACAATATATTAGGGAGATATGAACAACTGCAAAAAAATACAAAAATTAAATATTTAAGAGCTAAATAGTAACAATACAGGGACTAGAAATATTGCTGAAACTTAGAAGAAGGAAACATAAACAAGATTTGTTAACATTAAAATACCCTAAAAATTAGTAAGGAAATGAGAAACACTCTAGTACACAAAGCCCATCATTCTGCCATGTCCCTGCTAAGGAGTACTCTGCCATTATCGCAGAAAGCGCAGATCTGTGGGTGCTGAAAGGGATATAGAGACAGGTTAAACCAGAGGTTACGAATAACAGATAATTTCAGGACCTGGATCTAGGAAATGGGAAAGAAAAGGACACAAGAATGAAGGGAGAAKTTCACTTTAGATAACTTTTTGTGCTGTTTGCATTTTTATCTAAGTTTTAACTTTTTATCACTTTTCTTTTATTGGGGGAAATCATGTGCAAAGTGGTAATTACACTCCTCTACTCAGGACATGGCATTACCTTCAGGTTATATGGCTTCTCTGTTATTTTTTATTATTCTCATATCTAGATTCTTTTTCCTTGCCATAAGCCATCATTAGATTGTGTTTAGCATACATCTTTTTGTTTATATGTGACTTTACAACATATGTATTGTTTGGTGTGGATAATTCAAACTTACATCAAAATTCATCTTATACCTTACATTATTCACTAGGTACCAGGTTTTGGGAAGCCCCCATATTGCTCTGGGTTATACCTAAGTCAATGGTAGACAATATCAAGTAACCTGTACAATGACTATTCTTATACTTACTCTTATACTTATTCTTTATTGCTCCATATAAGAAATGATTTGCAATAAACACCCAAATAGAAATGTTAGATCCTCATCAACACATAAACTTAATTTTCCCAGGTGGTGTCAGCTGTTCTCCCAAATGGCTGAACACGTACTTACCAAGGCTCACATGTCCCCATGTCCTTGCCCACATTCAGCATTGTTCAGCTTTATCATGTTGTCCAGTCCTGTAGATATAAAGTGATAGCTTCTTTCTTAAAACTTGAATTTTATTGATACCTTTCATAAAATTGAAAAAATGTCTCCTTTATCCAAATCTTTTTTCTTACCTTGCTAAAACCTCTTTGCACTACATGTTTTCAATGTATCTCAAATTTGTTTACTTTCTATATAACCTCAAACTCACTATTTCAAAGCAATATAAAAAGCTCACAGATTATTAGTGCTAAGAAGACACTTGCTGTTCTAAAATAATACATTCATTTTACACCCAAGGAAACTGAAGCCTTGAGGACATTTTTTTTAACTCAACTATATTTTAAGGAATTTTAGGGATAGAACCAAAACTGATAAGCTTGCAGGATTTAGGGTCAAAGAAGAAGAGATTTGTGGAGCCTGACAGGGGGGAAAAAGAGCTTTAAATAATTGAGTAAGATTTTTTTAGGAGGAGATAAAGTTGAAACTACCTTTTGAAAGATGCATGGGCAAGAAGGGGAAATATTTTCTAAGAAGAAAGAAAACCATCATCAGAGGAATGAGCAGGTTGTTTTGTACATGACAGAGCATCCAGGATGTTCAAATGTTTGTAAAACAGAATTAGGATTTGGGGAGASTGGAGAATCTAGCCAGGGTGGGTCACATAATTTGCAAAGCCCATAGTAAACTGAAGCTGCAGGACCATTTGTTCACTTATATATAAGGAAAATATATAAAATATTTTCCTTATGGGCTGGGGATGTGGCTCAAGGGGTAGCGAGCGCGCCTGGCATGCATGTGGCCTGGGTTCGATCCTCAGCACCACATACAAATAAAGATGTAAAAATAAATAAACAAATTCTCTCTCTCTCTTAAAAAAAATTTAAAAAAATAAAATATTTTCCTTAATCTTATGTATTTTATAAGTAACTCATGCATATGTTTCACAATTCAAAAGGGATAAAAGAGCATGCACTGACCAATAATACATCTTCATCCCACCCTACCCTTGTACCTGTGTTTTCTTTTCTATAGGTAGCTGTTATTATCAGTTTTCTGTCATTTCTGTGTAGATACAAATATTTCATTTTGTTTTTAAGCAAAAATGGTACATACCATTCACAGTGTTGTAATTACAACCTTTTTTTTTCCCCACAGAAAAAAAGTTTCCTTCTAAATACACATAGAGCTGCCTCTTCCTTTTTAAGGGGTCTGTGTTCATTTTTAGTTGTCCTTTATTGGCTAGAAATTGGTATATTATTTTTTCCATCTTACAATCACAAGTAGTGCCCTAAGGCTGAGCTTCCTGAAGATTAGAATCAAAGCTTGGAAATGAAGATTACAGCTATAATTATAAGATGCGTGAAAATGGTAGGAAAGTCCATTTCATGGAGGTGACATAATTATTGAGTCAGTTTCTTAGCAGAGGACATTAAAATATATATATCTATAGATAGATAGATAGATAGATAGATAGATAGATAGATAGATAGTACTGGGGATTGAACTCAGGGGTGCTTAACCACTGAGCCATATACAAAGCCCTTTTTATATTTTATTTAGAGACAGGGTCTCAATAAATTGCTTAGGGTCTCACTAAGTTGCTGAGGCTGGCTTTGAACTCACAATACCCCTGCCTGGGATTATAGGCATGCACCACCAGGCAGGGGTATTGTGAGTTCAATTTTTGCTAGTAGGGACAATGCTTCAGTGGGTACTTTGGACAGAAGAAAGCCATTAGGAGGGAGGCAAAAGCAAGTGGCACAGATCTACTGTCTGAATAAATGATGCTCTGAGATGGTATCCAGAGAAGCATAAAGAATTCACACCCACATTTCTTCCATCCTTAGGACTCTGAATAGACTTAAAATTAATTCAATTGTTGAAACAACAAGAAAGGAATGATTGAGTTCAAAAAGACTAAGGAAACAAGAAAGGAGAAAGAGGGGGAAGAAGTAGAGTGAAGAAGGGAGATAGTTCAACAGGAAACAGCATGCAGGATGGCAAAGGAAATCAGACATTTCCCAGATGGCGTAGGAAATAAGCTAATAATTGTGTGCACTGGTTGGGAGAGATTGGCATGAAGAGGAAAGGCAAGATTCAATGCCATTGTAAAAGGGGAAAATTAGACTTGTTGACTAATTAGACATGCTTAAGAACAAGAAAGCATGAGGAGACGATATCATAGCGACAGTTTTCTAGGAAAAATTGCTTTATTCTCAACATCTGCATGCATCTTAGAATTATACCTGGATTCTTCATTTCCGTGCCTTGATTTCAATCCTTAGGAAAGTAGGCCTTAGGGTACTACTTGTGATTCTAAAATGGAATAAGTAATGATTTAATTCCCAGCCAGTAAAGGGCAATCCAAATGACAGGCTCCACCATTTCCCCAGGGCTAGTTTGTAACCTGGGACAGAAATAAGCTGTGTGTATTAAATCAATACAATCGCTCAGAAGTTTTTTTAAAAAATGCAATTCTTTGGCGACTATGTATTATATGAACTATTTCTACTTCTTAATGGTTTACTTTCTTCAGATGATATAAACCTGGCCACATTTCTACAGTGAGACAATGCCAGCCAGGGACTTGGTGMCTTTAGTAAATGTTCCAAGGTGGTTTATGACAAGGTGCTAAGATGCAATTTACAAACCCCAGTCTGCCCCACTGAAGAATCACAGTGACCAGGATCGTCTATAACAGACAAGTATGTAACATTTCCCAGCAATCCTATGCTTTCTTCTTCCCTGCCAGTCTCAACAGGGGTAGTTCATAGGAGCATGGGAATGGAGTCAACTTTGGAAGTGTTAGTGTGTGTGCCCTCCCCGTTTCCCCAAGGCACCACCAAAAGCACCACTGGCCATTCACACTGATGATAACAAAATCATTGCTTACCACAGCATTTCTTCTTTTCCCCTGGATTCCCTTACYCCTCATCTTCTCAAGAATTTCATTTCTCMATTATCTGTCTACTTGCTCAGAATCACTTCTCTTCTTAATGGTTCCGATTGTCATAAACCACTTCTAGAAATTTCTTTTTAAACACACCTACACACAGGCTCACACACACTCCTATCTCTGGAATACTTTTGGCTGCACACAACAAAATGCTCAGTGTGGAGGCCCTTACCATAGTAAAGATATTTAAGCAGTGTGTCTAACTAACAATCTGAATGGAGGAACTCTCAGGATGGTGCAGTGACTCTAACTTGCTGCTGGGTCATCCTCAGTGGCCCATGGCCAGTTAAGTCACAGGGTGTTTGCTCAACTCCACAAATCCAGCCTATGTCTTCTCTCTCTCTCTCTCTCTCTCTCTCTCTCTCTCTCTCTCTCTCTCTCTCTGGCTCTTTTTAGATATACATGATAGTAGAATGTAAATTGGTATATTATACATACATGAAGTATAATTTATTCTAATTATGATCCTATTCTTGTGGTTGTACATGATGTGGACTTACACTGGTCATGTATTGGAATAAAAGGATAGTAAAGTTATGTCCGATTAATTCTACTATCTTCTTAAGGCAGTGCTACACTGAGGAAAAAAGGCAAAGGGATCTTCCTACTGTCTTTCCTAGAAGCATCTTGCTGACAGTACTTCTGCTCACTGAACCTACCCCAGATCAAATTTCAGAAAAGAAAATGTGATAACTGGTTTAGGGCACTATGGTTATCCTTGGTCCTAGGTACATTCAACCAGACTTGTAGTAAGAGAAAATAAAATGACCTTTGGATATGACTCTTAATAAATGATGCCATTAAGACTACATTTCTTAATTCCTTTCACTTCTTTTAAACTTTTGTTAGTGCTTTCATGACCTGAAGTTCTTTTATATTGTTTTTCATTTTAAATCATAACATTCTGGAACTCCAAAGGATCTTAGGTCATTTAGTAAAGGGCTTTTCAAAACTGTGTTGTTTCGATGCTGGGGATTGGCTGCAGGACCTGGTGTTTGGTAAACATGTGTTCAACCAATAAGCTCTACTCTCCGACTCACAGTTTTGTTTTGTTTGGTTTGGTTTGTATTTTATTTTGTTTTGTTTTTTATTTCTGGCTTGTAATCTAAATAAACAAATGCAAATAAATAGGGAGTTTTAAAATGAGCTGGTGGAATTGAGCAGGCAGGGCAAAGAAATGTGACCTTAGGAACCAATGGTCTTGAGGCAGCTCTGGCAGGTTAGATTCTTTTTCAGCGGGACTTTAAAGCCACATTTCTCCTCTATTTTTCTCATTTTGGAAAAACAAAACAACAACAACAAAAACCCTAAGTTTAAAGAAGTAAAATGATGTAATCTTGTTCCTTTACAGATTATTTAATTTATTTAATTATTTGTTCAGATTTCCTGATTTCCTAATTCCTTATATATCTTTTAAGTCTTTCAAATTCTGTTATGTATTTGTCTTCAAAGTTTGTTCTTTACTTACACAACATAAAGTCCTCACAAATAAAGTCCCACTCCCCCACTCCCATCCTACCAGTCCTCTTTAGTCTTTGAGGCAAGGTGTAGCTAAATTGTTGAGGCTATCCTGGAATTTACAATCCTTCTGCCTCAGCCTCCTCCCTCAGTTAATGGGATTAAAGGCAAATGCCACTTTTCCCCCTTCAGAAATAAAACTTAATGTAGAAATCCTTATAGTATCTCAGTGTCCTCTCCCTAACTCCACTCTATGCTTAATATATAATGTCCAGAGTTACAGTRCAATATTTCAGGTATAAATATGCATTTTAATTTTTTTTTTTGTGTGTGTGTGTGTTATAGGCAAAAAAGGGCAGTGGTTAAGGACCCAGACATTCATTGAACCTAAAATTACATGAGTTCCCATGTTGCGCTAAGGACCAGGTTTCCTTGTAATTATAATTCTTATCTGAGTTGAAATTTATGTGCAATATACTTACACAGTCTAGCATATAGTAACTGCTGTAGGTTAAATGCTATTTTCCCTAATTTTTATCATAATCCTTCTTGGCCAAAGATCCTGGAAATTGTTGGAAATTTCCCTCCCGGAAGTAAAGGGCCAATGATGCCTAAATACAAGCCCTTTCATGTTTTCTTTAGAGCCATTCCCACAAATTCATTTCCTTCACTTTACTTTTTTTTCCTTGTAGATCTTTGCTGTGTCATTGATAATTTCACTATTCATGGAAACTGAAAGTAAAGAGTCAGACTCATAATTRTGTCAGAGTTGAAAGAAGTCTGGAGATAATCATTCACAAGTGAAGAACCCAGTAGTTTAGAACATTCAGGTTACTTGGTTAGTCACTAATGTTCAAAGTTCTCTGTAACCAGAGGTATGATAGTTGCAGTATACCTAAATAATTTGAGTTAGTCTTCAAATTCCTGTTCCCTGATCTCTACTCCTGCATAACAAAGTTCTAGGAGATGTTTGTCTGAACAGCTAAAATAATAAAAGTAAAGAAAAGGGAAAGGAGTTGTTATAAGTCATCTAAGAGTCTAAAAATGTTAGGTGATCATGTGACCTTGTACAGACAACAAAAGTTTCTCCTGCCTCCTTCACCAAGAACATTTCAGAAAGAAAAAAAAAATCATAATATTCAACAGAAGTTAGTATAATCCTAAGAATCCTGTTGCTTCCTCTAATCTTGAATACATAAATACATAATTACTAAATTCTTACATAAAACGTCTGCTGGTATTATATGGAAAACAAACTGTACTCTGTGGGCATTGGTGGTTCAGTGGTAGAATTCTCGCCTGCCACGCGGGAGGCCCGGGTTCGATTCCCGGCCAATGCAATCTCTTTTTCTCCTAAAACTTTAGTACAACACCTAAATATTGGCCTCGTGAAAGAAAGGAACCACAAATTAACCTATCTTCCATTTTCATCTTTACTTCCAGCTTTCAAAATGGCGCTTTGCCAGTTTTTCTTTTCTTTCTGATTGTATCCTAAATGTAAGCAAACACAGTAAAATAAGTTTCAGTAAGGAATATATAAAACGAAAAGTGATACAGGCTGGTTGGAGATGCCGGGGATTGAACCCGGGACCTCACACATGCGAAGCGCGCGCTCTACCACTGAGCTACATCCCCCAGCCGTGAAGCAGTTCTCTAATATAGGTAGTCATTCAGTTAGCGTAGCTCTAGTCAGATTACGGTAGGAAAATTTCTTGAGAGTTCATACTAGTGAATGTGTCTGAAACGTATTCTTTCTGCTCCCACTCCTGTCCTAAAATGCTCTGTTGTTTATTAAAACTCGTGCAAGTAGCCGCACCAAAAACTTAACCCTCATTCTAGAACACAACAAATCCGGCTCCYTGAATTCCTGCCCAGAGCCTGCTGCGCTGAGCAGCCAGACGGGCGGGACTCTGCAGCTCAGAGTTCCTGCCCAAGCCCGACACCGAGGGCCTACTGCGCAGGCGCAGGAGGCCCGGAAAGCCGTGCTGTGAGCTCTTTGGGGTTTTAGCTACGAGGTTAGAATCCCAACCTCCATCCCACCCCGACCCAGAGCTGCACCGTGCGCGMGACCCACTGTAAACATCACCTCTGGCGCTGAAGGAAACTTGTTTTAAAGCAGATCACTGGAGATATTCTCTTTCACACGAACCTGAACACGTCCTTCTCCCTCCTGAAAAAATATTTATATTTCCTAAAAAGGATCAGTTCACACAGAATCTCTATAGACTGGTTATGTAGGGGCTACGTTCAACTCTTGCAGATAAAAATTCTTTTGCAATTTGCTCTTCATTGGCATGAGGCTCAAAGTGAAAGAAAGAAAATGACACTGCCACCTCCCTTGTAGCTTAATCATATAYCCATGTTAAGATCGAGGCAGGGAACTTACTCTAGATATGGGTTTTTTTTTTTTTCTCTTCATTTTATATTTCTATCTTTGGCCTACTGGCTGATTGATACATGATGATAGAAATGTAAATCATTGAATGCATCCTTTAATATACTCAGCCTTCCTAACTTCTAATTGCACCCTAGCCCCAAAGTTAGATACCTACCCCTCTAGAACTGTCCCCTAGAAAATTATCTCTTTTCTTGTGGTTGAATGCTAGGTCATTAGATGAGATTAACTCTCAGTACAGTATAATAAGGTGTGTTTGACTCTTCCAGATACAATTTAAACTGATATCACCCCARGAGGTGAAGGAGGGTGGGTGGTATAAGTCTCAAGATACTGATGGCAACCTGGAGAGATCTGCTGTGTGTATGGAGGGGGGAAGGGGGGCTGCATCTCATCGCTTCCTGCTGACMTATAAAGAAGACCCCAAAAGGTAGCACCTTGAGGGCCTAGAGTTTCCACTCCCCTCAGTTGTGCAGAACAACCTGGATGAGTGAAATGTTCAGACCTCCAAAAGCTACAGCAGAAAGCAGAATTTTCCAAATCACTCTGAGTAAACCACAAACTTCATAATCAACTGCTGGACAAAAAAAATTACTTACAGAAATTTAAAGAAATAATGGCTCATAATCAGATTTTATTTAAAACTAGAACAAGCCACATGTTGATCTAATTCAACTATAATACAGAATGTCCCTGAAACAAACAAAAAATATTAGTGGACAGTCACTAAGGAGCTCTGCTCCAAGCCTGAGCATTTCCAAATCACTATTGCATTTCCTCCTGAGGCACTAGAATATGAATATCTTCAGTTGATTCTGAGTCAAAAAATGGACAGCCATTTCTCCACATCAGGATTGTCACCAGTGAAACATCYTTGAGCAACACCATAATACTATGTAGGAACTGTGAAGTAAGCCTGTTTTATCTCTGGTGACCTTGCTTTGACATCCTCTGTAGAATCCTCTTCCTCATATAATGGCTTATTTCTCCATCACCTGAGGCCTTCCCTTTCTGGGTTTTCTTTTTCAGGCAATCCTGAAGTTTTAGAGCCAAGCTCCTCTTAAATACACACTCCTCCTATTCCACAAAATCAAGGCCTATGAAAATGCAGCTGATAAAGAAAATGAGGCTTGAGTTCTAAAGCCAGCAAAGAATAAGAAGTAATTTCGTTGGCCTGGCTTAGGCCCCCAAACACACACACACACACACAAACACACACACACACACACACACACACTCAGCACCCCCACATACACACCATCCACAATGATTGTCAAAAGGCCCCCTTTTCAATAAGATAACACTTATTTCTGATATATTTTGCTTTAAGTCTTGGTTCTATTGGTCCAGCAGGTATTAAATATCCTTCCCTCAGGGCTGGCT